AAGTAGCACAGTTCACCCATCCACATGTGAAGGATTAGGAAAACCACCAAGACAAGACACTCTGGATAACTAACTTCAAAAAGTATGTGGACCTAATGTATTTCGGATCACTGACATAGAACATCGTCATTGTACCTTGCTGGCTGATGTCTAGCTGGGTGGGTTATTTCTCCTGAGGTGTTGGAAGGGCCCCCCCCCCCCCCCCCCGTAGCTCTTCCACTGTCTTGGGCTGTCTTCTTTCAAGGAAATATAAAAAGCAACTGTTGGCTACGGAATGGGTTGGCTTTTGGGGTTAAATTCTAACGTGTAGCATGACAACCTGAGAATCAGCAATGAAAAGGCAATCAGAAAATTTCTGGAAACACAAAACCACCAACTGATAAGGAGGTCTTATGCAACCCACAAACAACCCTCCCCCACCCCTATATACTAACACACACAAACATATAGGTAGATAACAAAATACAACGTGGTCTGTGTTAAGCTGACTTTCATCCCTGGAATCCTGCATAAAGAAAGACCTGACTACTTGGAAGTTCAGGTCAAAGTTCCCACACAATCCTTTTGTTACTTCCTGTGTTGAGCTATAACTATGGTTCTCTTGTCTATAAAAGTGGGAGCCTTATCTTTCTTATCGTATGTGACACCTCTACCCCTGTGCACTGAAGTTCACTGGAAAGGCTGTCAGTTCCTTAGACTTCCCAGTCATGTCAGCATGAGCTACGATTCTCAAAGTGGCAACTGCATACAGAATCAATATGGACACAACTTTCTCCTAGAAGGGCAACCCAAATCACATTTCCTGTCATATTAATAATTCATCAGTAAAATTCTGGCCTATTCTGTTCCATGCCCACAGATGCCATGGTTCCTCTCAGAGGAATACAGCAAGTCACATGGAAAAATTCTAGAACTCTCTTAAGTTCCCACCACAGAAGGGGGAAAAAAAAAGCACAAATCCATCAATTTGAAACAAACAAACAAAACACACAAAACACACAAACAAAACCATGTAAATAGCCAACACTGGTTTATAATGGTCTAGAACCCTGACAGGGCTATGTCACATTATGTTTTAAACTTCATATACTAAAGAATGTAGAGACATGCAGCTCCTTTTAAAAGTCAGTTTTCCCCTTTCAGTAAAAATAAAAATGTTTCCCCTCCTGGATAGTATCTCATCCTAAAACTTCATCTTACAACCCTAGAATACAGAACAGAAAATGTGAAGGAAAAAAAAAAGCCTTCTAGAAATCACCACAGGAGAGGAAGTCAGGAAAACATACAAAGCTCTGAGAGCTGGATGTGTGAGGATGCCAGGAGAGGGGGAGGGTTTCATGAGGTTCTAGGCAAGCCCTTTGATGACATCACCCCACATACATAATGTTACAGCAGTCAGCACAGGCCTCCTGCTTTCCTATTGGTGAACACCGTGTCAGCCGACATCAGAAGATAGTCATCATTGGTCAGACAATTACAACCAGAGCAACTAGCATCCCGGTCGTTAGCACAAACCTGGCAGGCTGCAGAAGGGAGAAGGCACAGCCTGCTTTCCTTCTCAATGAAGTTTATGTCTCCTTTCCAGCAAGGCGGAGGACGGCTGGGTGACTCTGTTCCCTAGCTAGCAGCATTTACCAACTGAGACAGCTTTTAATAGTGAGCACAACAGGTAAAGGCCAGGCATCTCATAAAAGAACAAAATGTCTCTAAGTCAATGCTGTTGACTCTCAAGGGTCTAAAACTGCGATTCAAAAATGTGTTTTAGAACTAAGGCATTCTTCCTCTACCTCAGCACCACAATATTTTTAACTGGGAAGCAGTTTCAAGTTATGACTGGGAGTGATTTTCCAACGGAATACACTCACTACTTTGCAGTGAAATTGCCAGTCCGGTCTACTCTACATGAAGCTATTCACTACAAAAATAAAGCCTACAATATTCCCTGTCTAGGCCAATGAGTACCAGGTTAAACATTCAAGGCAGCAATAAATTTCATGAGCTTGTCTCAGTCTAGCCCAAGAGTTTACTACACACACTCCACTCCAAAACCTGAGGCCTCATTCTAAGAATGGATTCTGCCTGAGCTAAGGTAAACACTATAGGGCAAGTTTTACCAATTCCTTATTCTGGGTCCTTCTAAACGATGCTAGTTACAACACTCAAGACTACTACAATGCAAGGCACCATACCTGCAAGCCCCCAAGACTTCAGATACCCTTGCACTGTGCTCAGTAGAGATACTGTTACAATTAGCCGGCTTTGTTTAGACTAGGTGTAAGAGATTTTTAAAGAACTGCTACACCAGTAAGTTCTCAAAAGACAGGGCAGATGCTTCTCCACATGGTTTTCTTCCAGAATGCTTTATAAAGCATTCAAAGTGACCAGGTCAAGTTAAGATGAGCCTTGAAGATTTTCAAGCCATCCACGCTCCTCTCAAGTGGGTCTAAGCCTTTACCATGCACTCTCTTCTAATGACAACTTGTGGGGGATCCTTCATTGTGTTCAAGGTATTTTGTCTGTTAGGGTTTATCTTGAGAGAGCAGGTAGAAGAGCTCTAAAATAAGGCTGTGAAGGAAATATAGTGAAGTAGAAAGCTAAAGAGATTAGGATCAGCAAAGGGGTAGGGTCCTTCCACTGTAATGTGCAATCCAAGAATATAAAGTCAAAGATCATAAAGGCAGGACGAGCATACATCCATTCTCCAGTGTGACTAGAGCAGGGTTCAAACCGCAAAAAGCCAAGCATGCTGAGCTCCTGGCAGCATGCATATGGACAAGTACTACTGGTGGCAAAATGGGCATTTTAATCACTGGACTTAGCAAGCATCTGCCGTGAATAAAGCATGCTGCTGGGTACTTTGCAGAAACAAGGGAGTGGGGGGGCAGAACCTTGCCCTTATCAGCCCATGATGTGCTAGGAGCCAGACACAGGCACACATGTAAATACCCACCTCTAAAAAGAGAAGACAGAAAAAAAAAGAGACTGTCAAGAGCTAAGAAGTAACATAGGTCAAACATTAAACGGGAAAATAGGTGATCTGTGTCATTTTTCAAGTCCTTGAGGTCCAAGAATCTGTGTGGTTCTGACAGAGTTGCTGTCACTGAGTATCTGTAGAAAGAGGCGGGAAACGATCCTGGGGCAGGCACAGGAAGTAGTGTGTGTGGGGGGGTGCTGACGACGACAAATAGAGACACCATTCACTACCGTGGTGCAAGTAAACTCAGAGAGTGGCAAGCTCCGGCAGAGGCACCGAAAGGCAGGCCCTGCCGGGATGCAGCCGGCAGCCAGTGCTAACACATGGTAGGAAAACGCGGCTACTGGAGGAGGAAGGGAGGCTAGAGCAGTGCGGCAAGGGACGGTGGTGACAAACGGCCTCAGAGAATTCTAGACTAGAAGCCCCAGGCTAGGGAGCTGTTCTCGCCCCCCACCCTCAAGTAAGTCCCTAGAGGGAGGAGGAAATGCACCTCTAGGACCCTTGAACGCGGGCCCGAAGGGGATGGGCTTCCCGCAGCGACCTGGCCTCCCTATGACCGCCCCCTTTCGGGGCGATCCAGACTGCGCGGGTGCTACCAGTCTCCAGACCCAGGCTCGCACCCTCGGCCTCGGCGTCCAGAGGACGTCAGCCACGGCACCAAGCTGCACCAAGCTAGAAGCCCTGGAGCTCGGGCCTCACGCGGGCAGCCGCCATGCCGCAGCCCAACCCGTGCGCCCCGAGCCAGGCTCCGCCCGGTCGCCGCCGTAAACCGCCCAAGGGCCCAACTCGCAGGCTGAAGGCCAAGGGTGGGCGTGAAAGGGCGGGAGCCACAAGCCATCGGCCGGGCCGAGGAAGCCGATCTCCCTCCCAGCCTCCGCCGTCCGCACCGCCCGGCTGCCGGCTGCAACCACCAGCCCCAGCCCCGGACGCGCCAGCGTCTCCAGTTTCAGATTGATGAATGGAGGGAGGGAAGGCAGATCGTGAGCGCCCTCGCACGCGGCAGCGGCGGTGGAACCTCCCGGAGCCCGGAAGCCCCCCGAGGGCCAGCCGCAGCACAGCGAGGGACCGCAGGGCTTGCTCTAAACGGGAGGGAAACGTCTCCACCAGCACAGCACGGTGTACGGGAAAGAGGGACCTCCCTTGCTAAATATTGCAAGGTGACACTGGATCGCCTCCCACTCAGGGATTTTTCAAAAGACTGACGGAGGGAACATAGTAAACAATGTTTTCCCATATTTGAACTTCTGGCGAAAGAGCCCCTCCACCCCCCGACTCTTTGGCGAGAGCTTTTCTAATGTCCAAACTCCTGCCGCTCATCACTGCTCATCACTGAGAAGTGTGTACAAAAGGCGTTCCCTTTGCACAGAAACTTAATAATGGCGTGGCTCCACTTGCTCGGGTTCATTCATTTTTACTGCAGTTTTCATTGTCCCTTCTTCCTCGGTGTCTTTAAGAAACCGGAAAGTAATTTGTGTGGAGAAGGGATCCTGGACCCCAGGCATCTACGGCTGGGGGGCGGCAGTCAGGAGAGGGCAGCGAAGTGGGAGAACTACAAGGAGAAAGGAAGGACACGAGGGATGGGGAGAGGACCAGATAGGAAAGGAAGGTGGATCGGAGAGGGTTAAAGGGAGCGGAGACCGGGTCCTCCCTCCACTGCCTAGCACGCCCCAGTAGCAGGAGGCCAAGCAAAACCCCCAAATCTAGGCGAACGCCGGGAGACAGCACAGGTGGGGTATCTGGATTATAGTGTGTCTCCCGTGTCTCCCTATATAGTTCCAGGCACACATATTATATGTTCTACGTTATATAATCTACACAAAGATGCCCGCGTGGCCGCGGCTCAGACAGAGCACCCCCAAACCGCACGCTTCATGCAGCCTCAGACTCCTGCAGACATGAGACCCGAGAACTCCTCGATTTGCTTGCTGGCTGCTGCCGGCAATCCATCGCTCCTCTCACGCTCTGACCGGGAATACCGACATTAAAGCACTCTCGGGAACAGTATCGGGCGAAAAGCATCACCTACCAGTTTTCCTGCATCCATTGGATGGCTTCATTCTCGTTGAACTGCTTTTCGAATTCATATTCTTGTAAAGTCAACACTGACATGTTCATTGGGGCTGATCTTCGGAGTCGCTACGTGTTCTCTATACAAAATAAAAGAATCTGTAAAGAGCCTTTTATTTTGAGTGCTCTCCTGTCTGCTTCCCCCTCCCACCCCCCTAGGTATGGCCCCGCCGTCAGTCTCCTTGGCCGATCTCTCTCCCAGCCTCTCAGCTACATCCAGGGTTGAGCATTGCCTGCGCCTCAGCTCCCAGCTCCTGGCTCAGGGGCTCTCCTCCCGGCGTCCGCATCCACCGTAGGAGGAAATGAATGCCTTGCGGTCTTAGTGCCCGCACGTTTGTCCATCACGCTTTTTACTCGTCTACAGGGAAATCTCCTCCCCCTCGTGCGATCGGAAAAATTAACCCTTTGCGCGAGAGGGCGCAGAAGAGCAAGACCTCCCCTCGCCCTGGGGGACAGTTTTGTTTACCAGAAGGTGGTTGGAGGAGTGGGGGAAGGGCGCCAGGAGGGAGGAAGTAGCCTGGAGGTCATCCACAAGCCCATTCGCAACCTCGTGGGCCGCCCTGCCTGGCCTTTGAATGAAGTTCAGCGTGCGAGGCTCAGCTGGGAGGCGCGTGGACCCGAAAGCTTGGCGAGTAAACAATTGGGAAATAGTAAAACCTGCCAGATCTCTCGCATGAGCACTCCTGGCAAATGAACGCGAGGATCACTTCGGGCTAGCTTTCCTCCCCGACCCCGCAGTACCCTCCGAAAACACCTCCACGGGACAACTTGGGCGTGGACTCTCGTTGACAGTGGGGCCAGGTTACCCGCGGAGCCTTTAGATCTCATGGAGACGGGATGCCGAAGCTGAAGACCTGGGAAGTCTGGGGTGATTTAGGAGGCGGAAGTGGAAGGGCAAAGAGTGAGATGGAGGGTTTGAGTACATGGAGGAGGCTATTAGCGAACAAAGGAGGGAAGGAGTTTGGCATACAGAATCAGGCCTACTGGTCTATTGCCAAAACTTTATCTGTATGTTTTGCTTTATTCTTGTGCAATTAGGAAGAACAGATTAATGTAGGAGAGGGGTGAATGCCCTGGCAGTCCCTCCAACACTCAGCTCACAGCAATACCTTTTAACCTTGCTTTCCCATACACCCCTCATATTTTCCTGGAAGATAGTTTCCTATTCCTAAAAGGGTGAATGAAGTGAGAGACAATAAGGTACCTAATAATATTTGGATCCAGCCATAAACAAAACGTAGTGGTCAACTTTTGGTTTCTCGAGACGGGATTTCTCTGTGTAGCCTTGCTGTCCTGGAACTCCCTCCGCAGTCCGGGCTGGCTGTGAAACTCAGAAATTCTCCTGCCTCTGTTTCAGTAATTCTGGGATTAAAAGCATGTGCCACTATGGCCCAGCTAACAACCGATTAGTTTAAAGATGTATATTAGGACCAGAAAGAAAATGCCTTCTGTGAAGGTATTTCCCTACCTACCAACTTGTGTGAAGAGAGAGCTCTTAATCAAACTTAGAAAGTTCTAGCCTTTGGAAGTGGGAACTGGAAAAAAAAAAAAATCTCTGTAAGTAAGGAAGCTGGGCGTTGTTGGTGCACGCCTTTATTTCCAGGACTCGGGAGGCAGAGGCAGGCGGATCTCTGAGTTCAATACCAGCCTGGTCTACAAAGCGAGTTCCAGGCCAGGCTCCAAAGTTACACAGAGAACCCTGTCTCGAGAAACCAAACCAAAACAAACAACAAATTTGCCAGAAATTCAAGGACAGTCTACCTCACAGTGGCACCCCTCCACCATCCAAAATAATAATAATAATAATAATAATAATAATAATAATAATAATAATAATAAAATAAAAACGGAGGAGGGGGTGCTATGCCTTTAATCCCAATGCTCTCTGGAGTCATTGGTACATGAATCTTGGTGAGCTTGAGACTAACCTGGCCTAATAATGAGTTTCGGGTCAGCCAGGAGGGATAGAGAGAGAGACCTGGTGGCACACACCTTTAATCCCAGCACTCTGGAGGCAGAGGCAGGCGGGTCTTGAGTTCGAGGCCAGCCTGGTCTACAGAGTGAGTTCCAGGACAGACTCCAAAACAATACAGAGAAACCCTGTCTCGAAAAACAAACCCTGCAAGGTGTGTGAGGATTCAGGCATTATGAGGGTCTGCCCCTGTCACCTGGCAGAATGCACTCAGGCAGTACCCTGGTCAGCGTGCTGGTGCAGGGACTCCTTTAAAAGGAAGACCACCTAATTCCCCCCCCCCCTTTTCCTACTGTTTCCCTGGGGCGGACAGGCATAATACCTATACTCTTCTGTCCTCTGTCTCTGTGTTTCTTTTCTCTTTCCCCCTTCCCCCTCCTTTCTGATAAAACTTCTCACTTAAGCTGTGTCTGCCTGGAATGTTTGTCCCCAACCTCGGTCACCCTTGCCTGCCATGGAATCCGCCAAGGTTCACCAGAGCTTTATCATAACAAGGTGGGGTTGGGAAAGCTCAGCATGAGACCCCTTGAGTGCAGATTCCTGGAACCTACAAAAAGCTGGCCAGGGTAGCTTGTGCCTATAAGGCTACCATTGGAGGCCGACACAGGAGAATCCTAGTGCCACTTGAGCCTAAAATGGGAGCATCAGGAGCTCAGTAATGGACCCTGACTCTAAAAGAAAGATGGAGAAGTCCACCTCTGACCCACTTTTTTTTTTTAAACAAATAATAGAACTAGCATGATAACCTATGCCTATAGTTCCAACATTTGGGATATAGAAGCAGGAGAATCAAGAGTTTGAGGTCATCTTTGGCTAAGGAGCAAACTCCTGGCTATATTGGGCCACATGAGGACAGCCCCCCCCCAACAAAAACAAAAAAAGAAAAAACCTAAATAGAGTTGAAATCCAGCAGAGTATTGCATCAATCACAGGGGCTAGAGTAGTTGATTAGCATTGATATGTATGTAGACACTCCCAAAGATTCTATGTAAAGATTTTGCTTATCTCCGGGTAGGGACTGTTCTAGGGTGAGATTCTGAAGGCAAGGTCCAAGCCAAAACACTTGGCAAAAATTAGCCTGAAAGGTGGGTGTGACTGATGAAAGAAAGACATTAGCATGATGCCTGGGCCTTTGAGCAATCATGCAAGTTTGTAAAGTGAAGGAGTGATTGATTAAGTGATAGGACTAGAAGAGCGGGAAAAGAGATGGAAGCCAAGTTTGGCAATTACCCTAGGGTAATCCGAAGCCCTAGGAAAGCAGAGGCAAGAAGATCACTGCTACTTGGAGGCCAGCGTGGAGAGTGTCAGAATAACAAGGCTTACATAATGGGAAGGTTTGAATAAGAATATCCCCATAGAGTGGGTGTGGGGGGGAAGCCAAGTGGTGGTGGTTCATGCTTTTAATCAGGTGGATCTCTGTGAGTTCAAGGTCAACCTGGTCTACTGAGTTCCAGGACAGCCTCCAAAGCTACAGAGAAACCCTGTCTGGGCAAAAAAAAAAAAAAAAAAAAAAGATTCCCCATAGGTTTGGCCATTTGAATACTTTACTTAACTTGGTCCCCTTGGTCTTGTTTAGTGAATTTTTGGAGGTGTGGTTTTGCTGGAGAAGGCCTGCTTTGAGAATTTAAAGATTCTATGCCATTTCAAGTTCTTCAAGTTTGCTTTCTTTGCTTTGTGCTTGAATTTGCTGAGGTGAACTCAGCTTGTAGTGACTGCCTGCTGCGTTTAGATTTTTTTCTAGAGAGCAATGCAAAGGTTAAAATCAAACAGCATACTTGCAGAACCAGGAGTGCTCATCTGGAAACCCAGAAGGCCTCACTGAGAAAAGGACTTAGAGTTGAGATTTCACTAACATTAGAGCCACACACTTGTTACAGCCTCACAAAGATCAAGTTCAAATGCCCCAAAGTAAACAAATTTGGTTTTAACATAAGAGTTTGAATTTTCAGAATTGAAGATGAGAGACAGAAAGACAGTCAAGGACTATGTTACAGCTAGAGAATTGAGAGGGCCCAATTTTGGAACCTTAAATAGGCTAAGATACTTAGAGATCTCATTCTTACTGCAATGTAGGCATGGGAAGTGGTATTTGAGGCACACTAAAATGAAAAATGATATGGTATTGTTTCAGTTTTTTTAAATGATATTTTTTTACAATCCCAGTTCCCTCTCCCTCCCCTCCTCCCCTGTCCCCCTCCAACTTCCATCCCATCCCCTTTCTGCTCCCCAGGGAGGGTGAGGCCTTCCATAGGGGATCATCAAAGTCTGGCATATCATTTGGAGCAGGGCCTAGGCCCCCATGTGTCAGCTGAGGGAGTATCCCTCTAGGTGGAACAGGCTCTCAAAGTCCATTCCTATACTAGGGATAAATACTGATCCACTACCAGAGGCCCCATAGACTGCCCAGTCCTCCTAACTAACACCCACATTCAAGGGGTCTGTCTGGATCTAACACTCACATTCAGGGGGTCTGGGTTGTTCCTATGCTGGTTTCCCAGCTGACAGACTGGGGTGCATGAGCTCCCCCTTGTTCAGGTCAGCTGTTTCTCCAGGTTTCCCCAGCCTGGTCTTGATCCCTTTGCTCATCACTTCTCTCTCTCTGCAACTGGATTCCAGTAGTCGGGCTCAGTGTTTAGCTATGGGTGTCTGCTTCTGCTTCTGCTTCCATCAGCTACAAGATGAAGGCTCTAGGATGGGAATGACATTTAAGGTAGCCTCTCCATTGTTGCTCAGATTGTTAGTTGGGGCCACCCTTTTGGTGTTTGGACATTTCCCTAGTGCCAGATTTCCCCTTAAATCTCTAATGACTCCCTCTATTATGGTATCTCTTCTCTTACTCCCCTCTATTCTTTCCCTGACTCAATCTTCCTGATCCCCCATGCCCTCCTCTTCTCCCCTTCTCTTTTTCCTAAATTCCTCTCCCCTCTCCCTATGCTCACAATTTGCTCAGGAGATTTTTGTCCCTTTCTCCATCTCCAGGGGACCATGTATGTCTCTCTTAAGATCCTCCTTGTTTCCTAGCTTTTCTGGCAGTGAGGATGGTAGGCTGGTAATCCTTTGCTCTGTGTCTAAAATCCATATATGAGTGAGTACATACCATGTTTGGTTTTTTGTGACTTGATTACCTCACTCAGA